AGTGAAAAATACATGTGTTTTGGTACTGGTATGCAAAATGGTTAGCAAAGTACAAACAAGAAATACCCTCAGATATCTTCAGTGGGAACTGGTCTCACTGGCTATACCTGATCAACTATCGGAGCTCCAGCCAGCAACATACTACTCACCTTAAACCTCTGAACAGGGCGACTATGAATACTCTCTGTAATCTGTGAGGCAGTATAATTCTATTTCGGTAACTCACTCAGCCTCCATCTCCCCCACGAGTCTTGCTCTGTACGGAACAGATATCTCACTTGACCAAGCACCTCCTATCGTACTGTCCATTAAATTCCTAACAGAGCTACCAACTCTCCAGTTAGCGAAATACACTCAGTTGCATACCACTTGAACCTTGACGGGAGACTCACCTGGAACCCAGCTGAATCTCGCATTTAGGATGTTTTTGAGCCTCTCCATTTTGGGTAATCGAAGTGAACCGGACCTCTTACAGGAAGTCCTCGTTCTCCCTTGAGTATTAACCAATTTTCTACTCGTGAAGAAAACGTTCCCGTTCTACTTCACAATAGTGCTACGAACCATTATGTATTAGCCAATCATATCCGCCACAACACTTAGAATTTTGTCTAAATAATTGTTGATCAACATTCATCTTATTTCTGAAAGCATACTGCCTAAGGTGCTCAGTTAATGTCCGCTACCCAAAGCCGATTTGAACTTCTGCAATAAGAAGTCGTCCAAATATGATGTACTTCACGCCAGTTCGATTCCTGTAGATTAACGAAGTCATGGTTGTTGTACCTATGACCTAGACATACGAGAAGCTCCAAACCGGGTACTACATTCTTTCCAAAAGTTTTCCTTGTCATGTATTGACAACTCATTCCTCTCCTTGTTCCGATCTAGCCTGTCTGACTGTACACGGATAGTGAAATTCATTGCTTCTCCGTCAATACACAGGTCTGCTAGTGGTGCTTTAGGGAAGCTAGTTCCTTAACTGTATTAATGACCTGGTTACTGAGTAACACTGACACAGCTGTTCATTGGTGGACGATACTGACATTTTTCAACAAGGAACTAAGTGGAATCCTCCCCATTGTCATCAGGAATTTAGGAGCTCTCGGTACGCTTTCATAAAGCTGGACCGTGAACTTATCCGAATAATTGTAGCCAGGTCGCATTCCACTTTACCTTCAACTCAGGATCCCATAAACATGATAATGAGCCAATCTTCATACTGAACCGTATCCGTTACTGACTCCCTCAGCCTCTGCTGCCGCCAAAAAATGTATGTACATATATATATGTATATGTATATATGTATATATATGTGTGTATGATCATGATCTATTAGGCTTGTGCCCCAACTGGTTACATATCTCGACCAATGATTATCCCGAAGCAGAATAATAGCTTTCTAAACTTAGTTCCTGCCCTGCCTCATTGGACTGCTAAGGTACCCACCACATTCTGTGCGTTTGCGAATGCACGGATTCTGAGGGCCTGAAACAAACATACAACTAACCTGCATGGGTATCCTAGCCTCCTTCCGAATGGGACACAGTATGCTCAAGCCAGCCCCACTCTCCTTCCCTTTTGTTTCATTGCGCACTACAGTGCGTTTACTGCTTCTCTAAACCTAACACTAACCACAGCCGTGTAGAGAATATGCACAACTATTCACATACCATCCTCGACAAAAAACACACGTCGTTCCGATCTGAAGTTTTCCCCATTTGATACACATCCATTAGGAACAATCTCTTTACGCACCAAAAGGCCCTTCAACAAATTTCTGTTACTAAAAGCCTAAATGTGAAAACTTTTGACTCACCAACCGGTCCCAAGGCATCCGTAGAGAGCAAATATCAATGAATAGGGTGCTACTGACGGGTAACTCCAGTTTGTATTCTCTTACCGCACTTGATTAGTGAAAGTGCCTACAGTTATTGTTACTTCTCATCTCTTTCCAAGCAAAGCATACCCCAGACCGCCTGATCACCTAGTAGTGAACATCTCTTCGACCATTTTCCGTTAAATGCCAACTACTGAACCCAATACCCTGGCTGAGTTCAGCGACAAACCTTGGGTGACAGCTTTAAACTATCCCTAGTAAAATATCGTTCTCGGCTGCACTGGTCTTTCACAACATGAAGACTGTGCTATCAACTTTCTCTGAGTGCATCTTACACGTACCGATTATTTTCAGGCGTTGCCATTTACTTGCTTACCAGCCTCATCAACCCTTCGAGCTTCAGATTTGAGCCTGGTGCCGTGACCAACATCACACGGACTTGGCTCACATTCAGTTCGACTATTATCCGTCCAGCTGA